CGCATCTACCATCCCATTCCCGTGGGTTCCCTGTATCCTGATTGGTGTAATGATTCACCCCGTGGAAGCCGTCAAACCTCCATCTAAATCAGGATCAACGGAACCCACGCTCCGGGGTCTCAGAGGCTAGTTCGCTTGGCTTAGATAGGAAGGTAACCCCCGTCGTATTGGACAAGTAAGGGACGACCCCTTAATAGACGGAGGTTTAAAAGTGGACATGACACACCCTTCTTTCGACAGCCCTGTTTGAAGGAATGGAATACTACGGTAGTTGGGGAATAGGCGGACCAATGGGGTATATAGGGGTAGTTTGTTCCCCATGCTGTTTTACAAAAAGTCGCGAGTTTATGGTCGTATTTGATGACTTTTGGAGAGATACGGTGTAAGTGAGGCGACGACCCAGAAGACAAAGGTGCCATAACCACCCAGATAGGACCGCAACATTAATGAATACGGGTTCAAGGAAAAATCTAAATGCCGAAGAATAATTTCAATTTTGTTTAGGAATTCTCATCACGCGGTCAATATTTAGAACCCTTTTGCTGACCAGGCCCAGACAATCTTGGCAACCGCTCGGCGTTTCATGTAGATACACCTTGTAGTTTTTACGGATTGACAGGGACTAAAAACGTGGATTCGGGAATACGAGATTGAACAAGGTTTATATGCTTAATGCAAATAAAAAAAAAGGTCAGAGTTTAAACGTCTTTTCCGCGGAGGCCGTGGGAAAGTTCATGTCATGAGGGCATAGCTAAGTTTTTTTCATGCAGGACTTGACGACTTGTAACATCGTGAAATTCAGAACCTCTATTGTTTTGAAAGTATATTGAGTGAGTTGACAATTATTTTTCTTACTTATCATATCCTCTGTTTAAGGCAACATCGCCAAATGGAGTCGAAATAAGGCATCCAAATCAATCTGATAAAACATACATAATGAGAACATTAACAACTTTAGGCAGCATCAGGTTTTCCCCTTAACCTGAACTCAACGTCTCAACGAAATCCTAAACTTCCCACAAAAAATTGCAAGATAAATAAGCCAGGTGTCCTTTTTGTCACAGTCATCATCATGCATACAACACGAAAAACACCAAGCACCGAAATCGCCACGCCGCCAAACACCTACACCATGTATCATGACCTCCTGGGACTCTTTACCTATGGAACTCTGCTTCATGATATTCGACTACCTCGCAGCAAGCGGTCCAGGTCACCTGTCTGTCTGTGCCGCAGTCTGCAAAAAATGGCAGGGAATAATCGAACCCCGGATGTTTCGACAACTAAAACTCCGATCAACGCGCATCGAAGGTCTTGGAACTATGATTACCGACCGAACGAGACCCCTAGTGCAATATATCTGGCTCCATGTCGAACTCCCCCAATACACCTGTCTAATATGCAATCGTCGAGAATCGCAATCTGCCTGGATACGCAACAACCGCTTGATCAGGGGCGCCCTCTTAAAGCTCTTTGCTGTGCTGAGTACCTGGGACTCGACCGCAGGCGGTCTCACTCTGGAGCTGAGTGTTAATTCACCTAGCGACACCCAGCATTACTTCAAGAACTACTGCTTTGGAGACGGGAGGCATGAGGCGAGGAATTGGGGTGGTTCGGACCACGGCTGGAATAATGGAACTCGAACGAGGTCTCCTAGGAGTTCCGCGATAGGACGCTTGTTCGAACCCATCGATCTGATTTCTAGGCAACGGATGCTTAGGGTGGATGCCGTTACAAGGCTCGTGATACGTCGGCATCTTCGTCGGCGGCTCCCGGGTTCTAGTCTGCGAACGCTGCTGGACAAACTTCCACGACTAGAATGTCTGCTCTTTGAGCCATGGCGTGAGTGGGTTCCCTCATTACAATCATTATTGGACCGAGGTGAGAGTGACTAAGAGTTAAGCAATGCCTTGATAGCTAACGTTGAGGATATAGAATACAAAAGGACACTTGAAGTTGGTCTACCGAGGACACTCAAGAGACTATCCATCTTTGAAGATTTCGACGAGATTCATATGACACCGATACGAAGAACCATATGGCCCCGACCACCTTTCAGTCTTACCAGACTCGGGTTCCGCGGGCTCGCCGAAACAATAGGAGACCGAAGTCTACAGCTCACACACCTCTCAATATCATTCTTGATCGATGCTTGCCACTTCTTCCGACCGGAACAGCGACATTGGATCTGGCAACACCTAGAATTCCTCTCGTTAACTTCAGAAATCCTAAAACCGAGGAAAGACAAGATCGTTCTATGGACTCTACTATATGTCGCCGCGCTCGTAGCGGCGAACATGCCTAGACTCCAAGAAATGGTTCTCTGGAACGGAGGAAAAGGACACGCATGCATGTTCAGATACAACCGTCGAAACGCATCACTCACAACACGAAGTACCTGGAAGTGTCAGCTTCTTCCAATCGTTGAGGAACTTTGGGGGGAGATTCTCTTGTCGCGCACAGGGTGTCAGCTTCATGTTGATGTTCGATCTTTAAGTAGTGGTTTGATACTTTGTCATGGTGATGCTGTTTATGAATTGGGGTTGCCATCTGGTGTTGTTGATGCTGTGTCTTTGACTCAGATGCGTCTTGAGGAGAGGATGGTGTAAAGGCATGGTTGTCCCGTGTCAAGGTGAACACCATGGTTGAGGCTGGCCTTACCTTGGATGCATCTTTATAATATTTCTGAATTTACTGGAGCAAGCCATGCATGTTTCGCGCTGTTTTGCTATTTAATAAGTGTTCGCCGTTTATCTTATCCGGTGATTAAAGTTCTCTCTTGCATTTCATATGCACGTCCCCTGCAGTTCGGTATTCTAAATACCGAGGTGCCGTCTATGATAGAAGTTCCACCACCCACCTCGGTACTTACAAATTCCCGAGCTGAGGGTGACGACATTGCAAGTCGAATCTGCCAATCCTATAACAATCCGTGCATATGCCGTAGCTGATCCTTTTGATAAACAAGTTCAGCCCATGCATGCACCACACCTCAGCCTCGTACAGGGGTCGATGCAGACATCGTTTAGAAATCACGGACTGTTGCCATGCATGCATGCATTCCTTCGCCAAGCCACATACGCAACTGTGGTATGAGGGAGGACCTTTTGATCTCCAGACTCTCGATGCATCAAACGAGGTGGCCCTTTTTGAAAAGGGCCTCGGCACTTGGCTGGATCTCATGGGCACCTTTACGTCATTGGAAAGAGCTGACAAAATATGCATGACGTGAATCGGGTTTATTAAAACCTTCAAGGGTTTGTTTCAGCCTAGTTCGGCTCACTCGCTCTTCAGCATGCCGTCATTCCCAGGGATCTAGCAATGCCTTCATCACTATTCAAGCTTCCCAACACCAATGTGAATACTCTGTCATGAAAATTAATATCGTAAAAGAGAAGAACTTTTGACCTTGTTTGTTTTCTCGAGAGCCCGAAGCTACATGTCGACTGGTTGCCTCAAAGCACTGTTTTCATCCGACACTCCACCCCCGCTCCAAAGCCCAAAGAATATTCGAGGCCTTCGATGAAATGCACTAATCAAGACTTGAACGACACAAGCTTGTCTAGTAAGCTTGCAAGGCTCGGGCCGGATGATCGGCTTAACCAACAGTCCCTAAAGGTCCGAGAGCCGGGTCATCGACCGCCTGCATGAGCCTGTCAGGCCTGCCAGACATGGCAAACACAAGGTCCCTTGTGGCATGAGTTGAGGCACCCCCTGTCTTGGGGATCAACTGGGCTGTGGCATCCATATGCAGGCTGACTACGTCATTTTCCTGTTGTTTCATCTACTGAGCCTCCTTGATGCTCATGCTAGAATGTTTGAAGGAAGGATTGTGGCAATCTTACTGACGTCGTCTAGGAACGCCTATGAGGCATCATCGGCACAAGGAAGACTCAACGCCCGATCTCTTTCTCAAGTATAAAAGCAAAGATATCTCCCTCGCCAAGAGCCTATCTTTCTGAATCACCATCAACCCAAGACATAAACAAAACAGACAAACAAACCATTACTCCACTAAACCTATTCCTTCAATCTTCCTTTCACCTCAACATCACAACCATGAAGGTCTTCACCATCACCACAACTCTCCTCCTCACCTGTCTCAGCCTCGCCGCTCCATCCCCTTCCAAAGAAGCCGCCCGATCCATCTCCGAATCCGTCAACACCCGTGTCTCCCTTGCCAAGCGAGGCGAAGACAAAACTCCCAAAGACGAAGGCTGTCCCGGCGGCAAGGACTTTGGATTCTGTGTCCCCTGGCTTGGGGGTACCTACTGCTCGATGCCAGGTCCCAGCGTTGGGGCTTTTCCTATGCCTGATGCCGAGTGTCATACTCAGGTAAATCAGATTTGTGGTTGTTGGTGTAGCTGTAGTAAGGAGATGTGTGAGGCTGCGTTGCTTCCTGTGCCGGATTACTGCGGGTAGTGTGTTATTGGTTGATACAGGAGGTGTGTTTATTAGGGGAGTTTGGAGGAGTAAGAAGACATAGAAGACGGATTATTAAGGGAAACATGCTGTGAGAGGTTTTGGGTAGCTCTCATGGTTTCTGATGCGCTTGCAGTTGAGTAACAGAGACGTCTCATTTAAGCAGTGTAGTCATGTTGCTTTGTGTTTAAAACATGGCCAAGTGTACCAGAACGACGTCATACTAACGTTCACGCCAAAGATCTAGGCTTTTCTATGCCAATAAGACCATATCCTGACGAGATTATTCTTCTTATTAGTATCGATTACGTTTCTATGAGGAGCCATCGAGCGCGTAAAGACTTCCATGATGTGGAGTCTTATGTAAACTCCCAAGTCTAGCAACGCCGAACAAAGCTCTACCACAGTTGGAAAATCCAGAATGGATACAAAGAAATTAGCTGAGTTCGATATACTTATAAAACATATAGGTATGAGTCGTTATGGATGCTAGTATAGTTCCTAGTCCTCAGTGTCTCTGTGGCTGTTCAACTGCATGAAGTCCAATTTCGAGGCTGCCGTCCACCAATCAGAGCCACGCCCGGTTAGCTCAATCGGTAGAGCGTGAGACTCTTAGTACGAGTACGCGATCTCAAGGTTGCGGGTTCGACCCCCGCATCGGGCTGTTCCTATTAAACGATTGCTAGCATGGCTTCTTTTCTTTTTTTTTTTTGCCAATCTACTCTGCTGACCTGTACCTATCTTTTTGACTCTGATAAATTGCGATGCCTGTCTACGATGGGCTGTCTACTCTCGGATTGACTTGCCACTCTCTCTTCGTATTTATCAGCCACTTGTTTATAACCTTGTTTCCACGAGACGTTGAAGATAAAGCAGTTCTCGGCCTTAACTTAATGACAGTTTGAGTGAAGAGACTAGGAGCCTTGTGACATGCCAATTGCATTAAAAGCGACAATGGCAGTGGATGGCTACATTGCTCTGGACCACTTCCATGTTCACCACCTTGAAGTTGTCTCCCTCCCACAACCCAACCACGCTCACTCATTCCAAAGAGCACTACATTACTTTTATATAAACAAAATGTCACCTGACTCCCGACTTGAAACCTCTCCCCTTACAAAATCATCTGAAACTCATCAAGTGTCCCAGGCGCCACCACTAGCCTCGTCTCACAATTCCGTTATACCCGTAGCCACCATCTTCCACCAATCGCCCCGTCTCCATTTGCCGTACTAGCCGCCCACTCCTTTTCGTCTCTACTCGAAGCGCGTTTGGAAACGTTTCTATTGGTTCTCGAATTGGATGAGCGAACGGTCTCAAAACTGCCGGTTTTCCGACGGCCTCAACTAATCAACACCGCTTCACTATGGCATCCACTGCAAAATGCCTTTGAGTTACTAGAGACGGGTATGTTTAAGGGGGTGAAACTCGGGGTTCCGCAGCATGATCGTATTTCACCGATGACGCGGATATCTCTGTCAAGCTATTGTTTCACTCGTTGGTGGCCTCCGAGGTGAAGGCCGAACAAAGGATCCTCAAGGGATGAATTTTGGTGGTGTATAATAATGGCCTTCTTTCGCTGCCAAGAGATGTATTCACCAAGGTTGCAGGCCAATCCATTCCATTCCCTGTTCTGCGAACACCCTTTCCTTTCTTCTCTCATTGTCTTTTACCCCCTTTAATTCTTATACCTGTCAACATGAAGTCTTCTCTCTTCTTCACAAGCTTTTGGGCCTTTACCCTCGTTTCTGCCCTTCCTGCTGTCTCTTCCGGAAATCATTGTTCGGTTCAGCAGGTCAAGAACTCCAACTTTAAAAGAGATGGCACTCGCGCTCTCATCAAAGCCTACAGAAAGTATGGCATTACACTTCCTGAAAACCTCGCTGCTGCTGCAAAGGGGATCCATGGCCGCGCCGATACTGGTAGCGCTGTGACTGTGCCTGTCCAGAATGACGCCGAGTGGTTGACTCCGGTTCAAATCGGGTCTCCTCCCAAAACTTTTCAGATGGACTTTGATACTGGATCTTCGGATCTTTGGGTTTATGGTCCTCAGGCTGCTGCTGCTGGAGGTGGTCAAACTCAGTATGTCTCTGCGGAGAGCAACACGTCCAAACAGTTGGACGGTGCATCATTCCAGATCCAATACGGAGATGGAAGTGCTGCTGCCGGACACGTCGTGATGGATACTGTCTCTATCGGAGGTCTTGCTGTACAAAACCAGGCTGTTGAAGTGGCAGATGAAGTGACCCAATCCTTCCTTCAACAACAGGACCTCGATGGTCTGGTTGGCTTGGGCTTCAGTTCCATCAACACTGTTCAGCCAGAGCAGCAGAAAACTTTCTTTGCCGGTACCAACGCTCAGCATGGAAACACACTCTTCACTGCCGACTTGCAACAAGATGCACCCGGCAAGTACAACTTTGGCTTCATTGACAAGTCAGCTTTCACCGGCGACATCGCTTTCACTGATATCGACTCTTCCTCTGGTCTGTGGACATTTACCTCTACGGGCTTCTCTGTCGGCAAGGATGCACTTTCTCAAACACCCCTGACTGGCATCGCCGATACTGGAACCTCGCTTCTTCTGCTCCCCGGCGAAGTCAACGAGGCTTACTACTCCCAAGTCAAAGGAGCCCAACTAGATCAAGCAGCAGGCGGCTTCACTTTCCCCTGCGACTCGGACCTCCCCGACTTTTCCTTCGGCGTCGGAAAAGCAGCCATCACCATCCCCGGCGCTTTCATGAACTTTGCCCCCATCCCAGGAAGTTCATCTCAAGGTCTCAACAAGAGGAGGTACGGACAGAGGTTTGAAGGGCTCAGGATTGAGGCAGTTGGTCAGGCCTCGGGCATGTGCTTTGGTGGTCTTCAGTCGAGTGATTCTGCGGGTATCAATATTTTTGGGGATATTGCGTTGAAGGCTGCTTTTGTTGTCTTTGATGGGGGGAATTCAAGGATAGGATTTGCCAAGAAGCCACTTCCTGCTGCTTCTAAATAGGCTTTTCCCTGATATAGAGATAGACTGTTGCTGGTTCAACAATGAAATGCATCTTGCCCAAATTTACTACCTCCAACTGTTATCCATATTCACTTGTGAACTAAAACAGGTAGCCCTAGGGGCCTTTTTCGGTCCCTGACATACAGTTAGCGTGTGTATATTCTCAGTACTAGAATAGAGTATTTCATCCGTCTGTCAGATTAAACGTCGATCACTTTGCTTTGGCATAGCGGATGGTGCATCCTCCGGTTTGGCTGCGCCACTCGCACACGTCAGCATAGGTAGGCAGCAGCCATTACCACCACATCAAAGGGTCTTGTGCGCATCCGCAATCTTCCAGGCCTTCTACAATGTCTCACATTGCATGAATTCAGCCCTCCTCTCAAATGAATCATGACTTCCAAATCACATCTCCAGATCTTCACACTTGAGGGCCCTCACTCCAATGGAGACCTGAAAGAGTTTCCTCTCTTCTCCAAACTACCAGCCGAGCTACGCTTAAAAATCTGGAAACATTCCCTGGAGCATCATCGCATCCTCAAAGTTCATCTACGGTATCCTTCCGCATTCGATTTAATATTGGCCCATGATGGTCAGACAAAACCAGCTTCGCACCAAAGCCAGACCTATCGTCCAGTGGTCGAAGGATATCAGATGCTGAGCAAGCTTCTAAGAGTCAACAAAGAAGCCCGAGGCGCAGCCTTGTCCTTTTACAGAGTCCACCTTCCCTGCTGGCTCACAAAGGGAGCTTCCAGAAGTGACGACCTCGTCTCTGGCACCATCTACTTTAACCCAGAGTACGATTTTCTACATATTAAGCAGGAAAGCATGGATATGATGGATTTCTTCTACGATTTAAAGTTCAAATATGATCCACAGCACATTGGCATCCGGAATTTGGCTCTCTGCCGTAGGACGCTAGATAATCACGGCCGCCTCGCTCCTTTGCCACCTTCAAACGACAACCCCGAAGCCAAGGAAGCATTCAAAGACATCATGTCTCAGCTTGACGAAGTATTTTTTGTGTCCGTTCAAAATATCGCCCGCATGGTCTTGGGCCGTGACACGGGCGCACTGGCACTCTACGAAACTTCATTCAACCGCTCCTTTCCCATTACGGCCATGGCACTCAACTTTGATCGCATATCCCGAGACCCGAGACGTGCTGAGGAGGACTTTAAAAGCCTCACTATTATGGTCAGTCCTCGAGACCTGTACACTGCGTGGTTAGAGACAATGGAAGCGATGGGCATCAAACCGTTAAAGACGAAATACCGAATCCTACTTACTTTTCGACCATGGGATCGCGTATACAACGAAGAAGACGCCAGAAAATGGGTCCAAAAAGAAGACGAAATCTGGAACGACACATACGTATCCAACGGGCCCTTTTCTAAAATAGACTGGAAAACCACTGCAGGTTCTTCACTTCCGAAATTCCGGGACGAAGATCTTGACAAGGCTATACGGCCTACTTTTGGCTTCTGGCTTTTCCCGGTGGATGCATTCAATGATGGCTCGGAAAGTGCACCTCACTCTAATTACATTTCTTCTTGGGATGTTTCTGAGCATTGGCCTGAGTTGGCACTCTTGCGTCTGCCTCTGTCGTGAAGCTGGGAATGTCGAAGGGGCTAAGGACAATCGTCGAAGGCAAGGCCAGGCCGCCCAGGGAACCGCAGAGACCCACGACCACTTAACATCTCTTTAGTCTACACAATGAGATTGGCACTTAAATAGCTATGGTTATGACTTAAATGGCAGGTAGATATTAACTTAACTGGGCCATTTGTATCCCGGCTTAAAGGGTTGTTGGTCGAATCTTTGCCTGTTCAAGGCACCTCTCTATGAGATAAATCGTCTCTCCTCGATCGAATTAATCTTTCACTTTCTATTTGCCATTGATCAGTAGCCGACCCGAGGTGGATAGATTAAATGAGTAGATACTGTCACGTAGCTAACTACCTAGGTATGCATAGGTGGGCCTTCTGACTGTTACCTCTTAGAGAGGGTTAAATTTGCAGTGCAAATTTCTCAGCCCTGCAAAGATCATTCTAATTATAGATCCATCCCACGTCTCTAGTCTCTAGGCTCCTGCACATCATCCCTCGGTTTCCTTTTCCACCTCGGTTAGGAGAGCAACGCGATCCTCCGTCCTTCTAGGAAGCTCGTCTACCCCCAAAGAGTCATTCCCATATAGATCTTGATCCAGCAATCGCAGCTGAGCAATGAATCCGGTATTAGGGCAAACTGTCGGCCGCGCCGAAATGATAGCTGCCAATGCCGTCTTGAGTGACATGCCCTGTCGGATCATGAGATAACCAGCAATGACTGTGGGAGATCTTGATATCCCGGCAGAGCAATGAACAAACACCTTTCCGCCTGCTTCAGCGACTTGATCGATTATTTTGCTTGCTAACTCAATCGACTCGGATATTGGTGCAGATGGGGAGTCCACCATTGAGATTCGGTGATAAGTGACTCCGTCAATCTTTTCTGATGGTGTTGATCCGATGCTAATAACAGAAGTAATGCCGTTGGTTTTCAGAAATGAAGAAGATGATGCAGCTGAACATGGCCCAAGGAAGAGAAATGGTGGAAACACCAGTACTGCGGCGGTGGCCTTACTCTGGCTAACTTTCTGTGACTTGGATCCTTTGCGACCTCCCATG